GTAGCTAGCCATTTTCGGTTTATACGTGCCCCACCCCAATCCCCCCTCGAGCCGTCTCAAGGGCCCCTGCAGCAGCAGCAGCAGCAGCAGCAGCAGCAGCAGCAACAGCTGCTGCTGCTGCAGCACCCACGGAGACAAAAAGTTTGTCTGCCTGGGGGGCTGTGAGAGAGGGGGGGGCTACGCCTCGCCTCATGCAGCTGGGGCTCCTTTGGAGCCTCCATTGAAACTCTTGCTGCTGCTGCTGCTGCTGCTGCTGCTGCTGCTGCTGCTGCTGCTGATTGTCTCCTCCTGCTGCTGCTGTCTCTTGCTGCTGCTAATTGTCTCCTTTTGCAGCTCACTGTCTCCTCCTGCTCCTTTCTGTGCTGCAGCTGACGGTGTCTGCTGCTGCTGCTTGTCTCCTGCTGCTGCTGCTTGTCTCCTGCTGCAGCTGCTCATCTCCTGCTGCTGTTGGTTTGTGTTGCAGTTTGTCTCCTTTCTGCTGTTGCTGCTGCTGCTGCAGCTGCTGCTGCTGCAGCTGCTGCTGCTGCAGCTGCTGCTGCTGCAGCTGCTGCTGCTCGTATTCTTCTTCTGCATATCTTTCTCTCCTGCTGTTTAGGTCTTCCTACTGCTGTTTGTCTCCTTGTGCTGCTGTTGCTGCTACTGCTTCTGCTGCTGCTGCTGCTGTTGCTGCTGCGGCTGTTGCCGCTGCTGCTCTTGCTGCTGCTGCTGCTGCTGCTGCTGCAGTTTGTCTCCTTTTGCTGCCTAGACGCAGTAGCAGAATTCAGTTGTCTGTCTCCTTTCCTCCATCGCACAAGAAGTGTCTGCTGCTGCTGCTGCTGCTGCTGCTGCTGCTGCTGCTGTTGCTGCTGCTGCTGCTGCTGGCATTTCTGTCTCCTCTTCCCCTTGCTGCGTCTCTGTTTTCAAAGGCAGGTGATCTGCTGCTGCTTCTCCTCCATCTGCTTCTGCTTCATCTGCTGCTGCTGCTGCTGCTGCTGCTGCTGCTGCTGCTGCAGTTTGGGGGGGCAGCAGCGCGAGTTGGTCGTCGCAGCAGCTGTGGTGGTTTCGTGGTTTATCTTTATTGGGGTGTATAGGCAGCTCAACATGTACAGTTCGTTGCTGCACCGTTTGCTGTTCTTCTGCTGCAGTAGTATCTGGCTGAGCAGCAGCAGCAGCAGCAGCACCACCACCACCAGCAGCAGCTGCTGCAGCAGCAGCAGCAGCAGCAGCAGCAGCAGCAGCGTGATTTTTTTTTCGCATAGGTGGTCCCCAACCAAGCCATATAATGATAGGGTATGCAGCAGCAAGAAGAGCAGCAATACAGACAGCAACAGGCCTACAATCTCCCCCCATGAGGTGTACAGACACCCTATCATATAAAGGAATAGCAACAAGAGAAACTAAACCTCCTGCTGCTTGCGCTATCCCCGACAGCCGCCCAAAATGTCTACAATTAAACAAAGAGCTCACACAACAAAATATAAGCTCGCTATCCAAAGAAACATAACCACAAAAACAAACCAAAGCAAACGCATGCAGACACGATACACCAGAACCTCCTCCTCCTGCTCCTCCTCCTGCTGCTGCTGCTGCTGCTGCTGTTGCTGCTGCTGCTGGTGGTGCTGCTGCTGCTGCTGGTGCTGCAGCAGCAGAAGCAATGAGAGTGCATGCATAGGATAAAAGCCCCAAT